GCTGGCCTCAACTAGTCCTGTTTCAGGGTGAGGTCAAAGTGGTACTCAGGTCCTCACTGGGGCAGGTGGTAAACTTTTGTGTTCAGAGCCAGGGAAATGGCCCATTGGGAGTCACCTTCGTGTTGGGGAAGTGTTGAAGAGCCCAGGAGCCTTCTACAGCAATGGGAGAAGCAAATGAAACCTTTGTAGTAGGTAGGTGTCAGTTGAAATCTAGAAACTATACTCTCCGATCCTGGTCATTGCTCCAGACTGCCACAGAGGATATTACCATTTTGATGCTAGTAAAGAAGTATTCACATTTCAGAACTGCTGGAAATTTGCTTATCTTATAGGCAATGTGTCTAAGGTCTTAAATCTTCAAAGGGGTCTTTTCCGACAAAGGAAACTTTCTTGGGAGAAAGTCCCTTTCTTGCTTCAGTGCTTGCCTGGGACCCCCTAGATGCCAACATGATTAGGAGCATCCAAGTGGAAGGATCATACAGACTTTGGGATAGGGAGCCCCTATGACCCGCCCCCCACAATCAGCTCTTTTTCCCCACAGTGACGTGCAGAGGGCAAGGCAGTTCCATACAGCTTTTGTATGCATGATGATTTTTCTGTTTTTTCTTGCCAGGGTTGATAAGAAGTGTGTATCTTGATATTTCCGTTTAGGGAAGATAGATTTTCACCTTCTTATTCCCACATGCATCTGGGTTGCTAAAATGGCCTGGCCTGAGGTTCCTGCCCTCCTCTATTTTTTCATTTCACCCATATCTCTTCTGAACCACAGAAAAGAACACAGGCCATCAAACTCGGGCTGGCGAATCCTTTAACTGTCCACCCAGGTGGTGGCCTAGGGATGGAAGGCTTTTTACAGCCTCAAAATGTGTTAATGGCAGGGGAGCCACTTAGTTTTTGTTGTTTTTCTTTTTGGTACCGAGAGTTGAACTGAGGACTTTGTGCCTGCCAGGCAAGTAGTTATGCTACTGAGCTATATCCCTGGCCCCTGGGTGAGCCACTTAAACCCAAGTCTTTATACCTGAATACCTTTTGAAGAAATGTCTTTTGAGACAGACAGGGTCCATGAAGGCCCTCTGTACATGGCTGAGTTACAGAGAATGTTAACTATTATTGCTAACCTGGCTCAGGATTGTCTCTGTTCTTGCACTGAGGGATGGAGTACCTTGAGGCTTGTGTCACCTGGAGGATAGGAATTGCCTCTTGTTAATCTGGAGCAGAGTTTGCTGGGTGCCAGACTGCTATTTGGTACAATATGAGATGCGTCTTGAAGGCACATTTTCTACGTAGTAGTCAGAAATATTGTGTATTTCCTATGTGCCAGCCACTGTTGTAAGTGCTTTATGTAGAATAACTTTTCCTATAATAACACCCAAAGTAAATACCATGGCAATCCCTATGTAAGATCCCTAAGGGAAAAAAAAAAAAAAAAAAAAACTATATAAGAATCCCTGTATAAGAAAGCTGTAGTACAGAAAGGAAAAAGAACTTGGCTAAGGTCATACCAAAAAAAAAAAAAAGGCTAGAGCCAGAATTCAAACCCAGATCTCTTCCATGTACATGTGCTGAAACGTCTATTAATCATCGTTCCCCAGGGTCATTGCCTGTACTCTTGTGCTCCTTTGTTCATCTCAGTATTTGCTCTAGCATGGTTCCTGGCTCAGAAGATGCATGGCACATGTCCCTTGCTTTAGGCCTTGGCTGGGCCACCGAAGCTTGGCCTTGGCCTGGTCGCTGGCTGGCCCAGAGTGTATACCCTCGAGGTACCTGCTGCTACTCCCTTTTTCACCCTGAGCCTCAATTTCTTTCTCTCCTGGTCCCAGAGAACTCCTGTATCAGCCGTCCCTGTCATACCTACGGGGCTCATCTCCCTGGAGGCTTCCTGTCTGTCCTCTAGTGAACTGACTACTCAGACACAATAGTTGCTTCCCTCGTTTGGCACTTGGCACAGTTCGCCTCAGGCCACCCTTATAGAGCAAAGGTTTAGCTCCCTTTGGTAGTGAGACTGCCCTTTTAGTCCAGACTCTGACATTTACTCACTGAGGGACCAGGAGGTAACCAGGCGCTAAACCTCAGTTGGCTTAGCTATAAACTTGGTTCTATTGCAGCCCTATTTCAAAGGCTGACTAAGATCCAGGGTAATGAACTCATATCTGGCTCACAAGGCACAATAATAAATTGTAGACGTTAGCATTGCTAGTGTTCCTTCTGCCTCTAACCTAGGGATCTCTGCCCATTTTCTGTGTCTCCTAGGAAACAAATCTTTGGGGACCAGAACTCTTCTACCTTTAAGTCCCCTATCCTAGCACATGCCTCTGAATCCAGAGGCCTCAGAGAAGAGCTGGCCATTCAGCCCTACACCCCTGCATCACACCTAAGGCCCACTCTTGGCCAAGCCCTGGGCCAGCTTCCTGCCCTGGATGTCCAGGTGAATGGGACACCAGTTTCTCACCTCCCTCGGGGGTTCAGAGATGGCCTCCTCCAGGTTCCTGTGATCCTAGATAATGTCCCGCTCCCAGAGGACAGATGATGAGGGGAGCCCACAGTCCCTGAGTAGGAAGAGAGAGGCTCTGGCCTCGCACCGAGGGCTCTGGGAGCAGATGCGTGTGCTCTTCTCCAGGTACAAATGGCAAGGCTGAGCCCGTGGTGAAGGCGGCTGGGCAGGGGTAAAGTTCTCCATCAGCTGGCTCAGGAAGTGAATGGCTGCCTAGCTCCTGGGTGTGCTAGGCTCTGTTCCTGTCTAGGCTAACGAGGGTCTACACTTCGGGGTTATAATTCAGGTTGCTGTGTAAGCGACTGGAGGAGGAGGGGAAGGAGGATTGAATGCCTCTAATGAGAAGCATTTCCCCTGCTTGACTGAGGCAGGAAGCCTGGACCGACAGGACCCCTGGCTAGGGCCTTTCAGGCCTGCCTGACCTTGTGATCAGGCTCCTGCCATGACCAAATTTTAAGGCTGGAAACTTTGGTGGCTTCATTCCCCGGCATCTCCAAGGTCAGCTGAATCTCTGGGTGCCTCACGGGGGGCAGAAAAGAGCTTCAGCAAAGGGTAGGCAGCCCAGCACCCTTCCTAAAGTTGGGGATCCAGGTGAGGCCACTTCCCCCTCGCTGTCCCAGAAGTGGAGCCCAGCAGGGCCTTAGGGAAGTTATAGGGCCCAGGCTGAGGCCTCAGTTCACCTCTGGAGTGAGGCTGGGGCGGGGGCATCTGGAGGTGGGGGCTGTATCCTATGGGTGTAGAGGAGGAGGGGAACGTGGCTAATGGGAAGCAGGTGGAAGGGCTGCCTACACCCCAGCCAGGGGACAGGCTGACTGGGATGGCCCCGGCAGTGGGAGGACCCGTCAGCTGATGATAGTCCCATGGAACAGGCTCCGGGATACCCATTCATATTCATTATGTGTGAAGTGGGCGGTTGTAAAGTTAGCTTTCTCTTCATTTAGCTGTCACTGGACAGAAAAATATGAGCTGTGGGTGGATGCCCCTGGATGGGAGCCAGTAGCCAGTCTGTGGCCTCCCTGTGCCCTCCCTTCAGCAGTTCCCCCAGCTTGGGCCCTCTCCTGGCCCCTGCCCATAGCCTCTGCCTGCCTCTACCACTCTTGCTGCCTTGATCTCAAGCTCGGCTTTATTTTCTTCTGTTTTGTACCTCTCCGGCTTCTTTTGCTTGGGCTTCACAGATCCTTTCCTCTTCCTTCCCTCCATCTTTCTCATTCTAAGCTGAGCCGGGAGGAATTGTCATTTTCTCAACCACTGCTCCATCTCTGGCACAGAACAATACCTGGCACAGAGTGGGATCTCAACAAATGTTTGTAGAATAAACTAACCTTTCTCTGCAGCTCTCTGATGAAATTCATAGGACAGAAGGCCCAAACGTTGCTGGCTGCCCTGTGGGTGAAGAAACTTCTAGTGCAATGGTGTGAGCCCTAGAGTTAGAAATGGGGGCTTAAGCCCCAGTCGCGTTACTGACCACTGCGTGAAGGTACAGAAGGCTCGTCCGTCAGCGGCAGTAGGGGAGACTTTCCCTCTTGCCTTACTCTGCCCTTCCTGATGGTTTCCCCCTCCCTCTGTCTGTCAGGACAGAGAAGAAAGTCACCGCCAGAAACTAGGGAAGGGAAGGGAAGGAAGGAGAGGGCAGGCACTGGCGCCTCTGGGGATATGTGGCCTCCTCACTGTGACTGTCTTGGTTGGGAAATCTGATCCGATGGAGGACTTGCTCCCTGTTTGGGAATAAGCATGATACTAATGTGTCTTTGTGTGCTTGGGTTTCTCTGTGCCTGAAAGATGAGGCGTGGGGTGGGGGTGGCTGGGCTGTAGCTGAGACGAAATTCTTCTGAGCAATGTGGTTGTGTTTACTGGGAGGGTGGGAGGGCCAGGCCTGCTTTTTTCCTGCCTTCCAGGCTCCAGAGATAAGGCAGAAAGTGGGGATGAAGGGCAGAATGGGTAATACTCTGAAACCACAAGAAAGAGTTCTGGTTTTTGTCTCTGCCCCACAGCTCAGACGTGCTCCTGGGGCATCTGGGGAAGTGACAGCCCCGCCCCCAGCCCACTGGGGTCCCAGCTCACAGGAGTTCAGGGCTCTTAGTGGGCACCTTCGGCTTCGGCTCTCTTCATTGTCAGTTCAGACATGAACTTATTCCAACGTTTTCACTCCCACTCCCACCCCCAAATTTCCCTGCCAAGTGAACCCAGCCCTAGACCAGCGCTCTCTTCCTTGTCTCAGCACCAGCTGAAGCCCCGGAGACCCTGGGCAGGTGACAGGAATAGGGTCTGGCCTTGAAGGCTTTGTAGCAGGCCCACCTTCCCCTAGCCCAGTAACGACGAACCTTTTAGAGCTTTAAATGATACCAACAGCCTTCTGTGACATGCGTGCCATAGGTTCACCACCACTGCCCTAGACTCTCGGATCCGTGCTGGCCGCTTGAACAGGGCTTTGCCCAGCCTGGACCCTAGACACAGAGCATCCTTAAAGTCACCAGGTACTAAAGCCCTGGGGATAGACAGTTCTCTGGTATGAAAAACAACACCACTTTTATTACTATGCTGGGCAGCACTTTTTTTTTTTAAACAAAAGTATCTTTACAAAAATGGGAGTTGGGATCTCAGGGACTCAGAGACTAAAGAACTCTGTTTTATTCTGACCCAAGATTCAGTATGGTTTCCACAGCATAGCCCTGGCCTGATCTCATTGAAGTGAATCCAAATATTTGGTGGTTGCTGGTGGAATTTCTACCCACTTAAAAGAGCATGTTGGGAGATCCAGCACAGGCTGCTGTAAGGGACGGCTAGGGCAGAAGAGACAGGCATCCTTTAGGCTGACCTTCACCTTCCGGCCAGCCAGCACCCAACTCTGGGCACACGCCCCCTGGTGGTGGGAGGGGGATGCAAGTTCTTCTAGGTGGTCCAAGAGGACTGGCTGCTCCTGTCCCAAAGAGCTTCTCCCCATTTAATCTGCATCCTCCTCCCATCTTTCTGGGCTCCCTGCATTTCAGTGGGAGAGATGACAGGTGGATTTAGACAAAGTCTTGAGGAAGCAGACCCGAGTACCCTCCTGTATCCCAGTTTAAGTGAGGGACCTAGTTTGTGGCAGGAAAAGTCCTGCCCACCTTGAAGCCCCCTTTCTCCTAGGCAGTCCCACTTTGGTTTTTTTTCCGGTACCAGGAATCAAACTCACAACCTCACGCTTGCCAGGCAGGCGCTGTGCTGCTGAGCTAAATCTCCAGCCCCTAGGCAGTCCCACTTTAAGAAAAAAGACCCTGTTATTTTCTGCTGGGTGCTGAGGGTCCCAGCTGCTCTCCTAGACCTCCAGTACCATCTGGGCTTGGAGGCAGAAGTGCATACTCTGGTGTCCAGGCAAGGGTGGACCTGGAGCAGCTGGGAACAGAAAGGAGATGGGCAGCTTAGTCTGTGCGTCCATGCAACGTATCACGTGGTCCAGTTCAGCAGGCTAGGTGGCTCCTTGGGCTTCACCCTGAGTGAGACAAGGCTTGGGGACTTGTAGTCGCCATCTGGGGAGGGCTCGATGCTGTGGCCTCCCAAGGTGGGGGGAAAGCCATGGATGGAGTAGATGCCAGGGTGGGCTGCGGGGGAGGCTGGCACTCCCATGAAGCCGGCCACGTTCCCATGGGAGTGGGAATATGGAGACATGCAAGGGGAGGGGATGCCCTCTGGAGACATGAGGCAGGGGCCCCCTGGGCTCCCAGACCCTGGGCTGGGCCACAGGGAGTTCTGCAGCTGAAATGAGAGGGAAAAAGAAAGTTCAAGAACCAGCGGCCCTGGGAACTATCAGTTTTATCTCCTGTCTCTCCCTTGCCCCCTTCTCTCTCTGTCCTTCAGGCCCAAAAAGAGTTTCCAGAAAACTTCTATGTGGCCCAGGACTGTCTCTTAGAACCCAGGAGACCCTTGCCACTGCTAAACTTCCTTCCGTGATTCCTTTGTTTTCTGAGGGCATCACGCAGGAGGCAGGCAAGAGCCTCAATTTGCAGAGGGAGAAGCTAAATGATTTGCTCAGGTCAGCCAAGGCCCTGATGCTGCTCCAGGTGTCCTTGGAGCAGAGCTAATCTTGGTGGTGATTCCATGGGACATGGCCAAACCCTAACTCACGGTGGGTGGGTCTGGGGTCTCACCTGGGGGTGGCTGTCAGTGCGGGGTAGCACCGAGATGTCATAGGCAGCTGTGAAGGGGTTCCGCCCCTCCTGCATCTTCCCATAACGCTCACGCTTCCGCCACTTGGCTCTGCGGTTCTGGAACCAGACCTGAGGAGGAGTGTTGAGGGGTTTGAGGGCGTGCTCTAGCACCTAAACCGTGCAGCCCTCTGCAGTGAGAGCTGATGGTTCTGTCCTCCCATGGACTGGAAGCTGGCTCCAGGCTAGAGGCTTCTGAGCTGCTGAGGCTTATAAATCCACATTGTTCTCAGGGCCAGGGAGCCTGGGAGAGGCCCAAGCCCAAACCATGTTTACTGGTCCCAGGGGCCCCAGCTACCATTCTCCAGGCTGAGTCAGAGTCACTCTGCTTCTCCAGCCTGGTGTGTCTGGCCAGGGTGTTGCGAGGCGTCTGTGGACACCAGATCCCCAGAGCACTTCCTGGGAGGCCCCGCGCCTAGGTTGTTGTGGTGCTAGTCTCATTGCCATTTCTTTTCCAGTCTACTCACCTCACTTCATCTGAGGAATCCTAAAGACGTTCTGTTCAGGCCATGGTCCCTTTTATACCCTCCGTAGCTCCCTGGAGACCTTGGCCTGGAGCCCAGCCCCTTAACAAGGCCCCTTGGGATTGGCCTCTGCCCCTCCACAGCCCATGTCCTGCCAGGCAACAGTACTCAGTTGTTCTTAGTTGCCTCCCAAACTCCCACTCTTGCTGCCCTTTGAGACACTCTTCGAATTGGCTGCTTCCTGCCTTTGTTTAGGTTTTTCCTGCCTGGGTTCCCACCTCCCCACCACACACATCCAGACAGGGTGCCTTCACTGGACACCATAGTACCCTGACGTCTCTCACCTCTGCTGTTTCCAGATCTGCTTGGGAACTGCTTCTGTTCTTTGTGGGCTCTTCTCAGGTGGGGGTGGCATGTCTGTGTGTTGTGTATATTGTATATTTACCTGTGATGGATCGGTTGTTTGGTATATGCCCTATACTATTACATTTATGTGTATGGGTGTAAATATTTTGTTGTTTGTTTTAGTACCAGGAATCAAACTCAGGACCTTGCACTTTCCAGGCAGGCACTGCGCTGCTGAGCTATATCCCTGGCTGATGGATACATATTTTATTTCTATCCTTTAATGTTTGTAGGTCAAGGTCTGGGTTAGATGTTGGGAATATCAAAACAAAAGCAAACACAAGTGCTGCTTTCTAGGGATCTAGCTGGGAATCACAACAGAAGAAGGTGTGTGTGTGTGTGTGTGTGTGTTGTGTATGTGGTGTGTGTGTTGTGTATGTGGTGTGTGTGTAATCCAGCTATTACGGCTGAGATGAGTTGAGAATCTCCACACACGTTGCCCTCCTCATGGTCATTCTTAGTCAAGCAGGCAGGTAAGGCCCTGACAGTTAAGAGGCTGTGCGTATGCCTAGCCCTTCATTCCCAGGTTTCAGAGACGTCAGAACAGATCTGGCCAAGGTCAGGGAAGCCCACCCTGTCTGCTCAGCATTCTGGATTTTCTTTCTCTACTCTCTTTCCATTGCAGGTGAAGGAAGCCCAGACAACCTCATAATTTTACTGGAAGTTACTTCCCTTTCACCCCCATTTCCCCTTAGAATCACCCACTGTGGACCTCTGCCTGGACTGGGACCTGCCCCATACATTGCCCCATGTGTAGTCTTATTATTCCTGTCTAGGGGTGGGGCTTATGGGTAGGTATCATTTTCCTGTCAAAGAAAACATCCCTACTCTAGGGCCTTGATCACTGAGAAAGCTTCTCACAGTCCTGTGCTGAGTCTCTCTGTCAGGCCTTCCCTGCTCCGTGACAGCTGGCCTCTACAGCTGGTCTCCCAAGCCCCATGTGCCCCAGAGCTGGTTCCTGCCCCAGCACCTTCAAAGAATCTCTGGAAGGACCCCATGCAAGATGTGATAAGCGTGAGCTTTGCCCCTGTTAAGTCTTCTTAGTGCTGGGTGAAGCAGGCTCCCCGTTAGAGCAGTCACCTTCTCACCTTTCCCTCTTAGAAGCCCAAGCCCACTGCTCCCAGTGCCTTCTGCTTGGTATCAGGGAGCCTGCTATGAGTCATCCCCTTCAAAGCAAGGCCACAAACAATCCTCCTCTTGGGCCAGACTTACACTGAACCTCCATCCCAAGCCCCAGCCCTGCTTGGCACTTTCATATTATTTGACAGGCTTCCTTTCCCCCTTCCCCAGGATCTGCTTCCCTCCACTCTCCACAAACTGGCCTCCTGGCTACGTGAAGCTGGCCACAGCCCCATCCCTGGGGTCTGGGCTCTGTAGGGGAGAGTTTGTGGGGTGGAGAGCAGCTCCCAGCCAGGTTCTCCCAGCTAGAGACGGAACAGCTGGCAGGGGCTGAAGGTCGCCGGTTCACAATGACTCTGATGCTCCCAGCAGGCACCTTCCCATTATGAGTAGCTACCTTGGGAGCAGCCCTTGTATGTGTTCAATACTTTACTGCCTCCAAGGCGCTACCTGAGTTGCTAAGATTCAACGACATGACCCAAATCTCTTGACTAGCTGGTACGTGGGACACACTTAGAACGCCTACATAGGTCTTTTGACTCCAAGATGCAATTACCCATCCACACAGGCATAAACCTCGGTCTGGGCTGGCAGAACCCATGCTGCAGCAGGGCTAGACATGCAGAATGAGCCTCAGAGCCCCTGGCCTAGGAATAATGTTGGTAAGGACCCCTCCCCCAGCCCTTGCACAGTCTGGCCCACAATCTGAGTGGTTGAGACAGCCAGAGAGCCCTCACCTGTACCCTGGCCTCAGTCAGGTCTGTGCGCAGAGCCAGCTGTTCCCGGGCGTACACATCAGGGTAGTGGGTTTTCTGGAAGACTTTCTCCAACTCCTCCAGCTGGAACGTGCTGAAGGTGGTGCGGTTACGGCGCTTCTTGCTCTTGTTCTTGGCCAACTCCATGGAATCAGGGAGTCCCGGGGAAAGAGGCACACGCAGACTGGCCAGGCAGGGGCCTGGAGAACCTTGCAAGTTAGAGGGCCCGTCTCTGGGGCTCCTTCTGCAGTCCAAGGGCAGCTGGGGGAAGCTGGCAGCTTTGGAGGCCTTCTCCTCAGCTGCAATGGAAAACAAAAAGGAGGATGGAAACTGAACCAGGGGGGTTTGTGGGTGGAATGGAGGGAGGGGAAGAACATTGACGCTTCAGTCTCCGCCTCCCCCTTCCTCTTCTTTCCCTTCCCTTCCTCCCAGCAGCCACCTTCCATGGGAGCCTGGCATTCAGAGGGCTGCTTGCTGAGCCTCCAGCTGGGGAGGGGGCCCTAGGGAACCATGTGCTCTGTGGTCTGGGCGGATCTGCTGGGGCCAGAGGGGTTCATTTCGGGGAAGCGCTCTGTGGTAGTGCATCCCACAGGGTGTGGAGGTGCCAGGATTGGCGCCACAGCAGGGACCGCCACTTTGGCAGGCCAAGACTTGGCACAGGGAATGAGGGTGGGATAGTTGACATCTCCCACCCCTGCCAGGAAGCACTCCCTTGTCCCAGACTCCCTTGGTTCTCATGTCATAGGCCCACGCCTCTGTTCCCAGGACCAAACAGGCAAGGGATGGAGAATCTCAGACCACCTTTGGCTGATCTGACTGTGCTTTGTCCCTCTGAGCTCCAAATCTGAGGTCAACGACATCAAATCTCCCAGCTCTGGAGTAGAAGGGCAAATGGGACAAATAATTTTCCAAAAGGGCGGCTTCTCTCATTCCTCCCAAAGTGGTAAGGTCTAGGCGAGGACTCAAGCTCCACCAATAGACAGAGGGAGGCCAGACAGGCTGTGCTCAGTGAGGGAGAGCTGGGGGAGCAGTATCAGGATGAGGCACACTTCCTTCTCCAATATTCACGCATCCTTGGTGCTCCCTCCTCAGGAGGTTCTGACTGCTCTCCCATTGCTCACGATTAACAGACAGGGAGGTTCCTGGTACCGGAGAAAAAACAAAAAACAAAAAACAAAAAACAACAAAAAAAAAAACAGACAGGGAGGGCTCCACTGCAGACTGGAACACTTCCCAGCAGTCGCACACTGACATGCCGACCCTCACTCAGGAAACTTGACAGAGCCCCATGATCGACCAACACAGCTTGGTGAAAAATAGGCCACCCTGGTCACCCTACCCTCTCTCTGGCAAAGACCCCCGTGTTGTCTCCATGAAATCCCTCTTCACCAGTCCTCTGGGATAGCAGCATGATGCCACAAAGATAGCCCACTGACTCACACAGCGCCTTTCCCGGCCCTAGGCCCATCTCCAGTGGGGCCTTGCCCCCAGAAGGCCAGCTAGCAGGGACTTGGTGTCAGGCTCACAGCAGATCTCAGGATCTAGGTCAGATGAGTCCCTGGTCTGCCTTGTGAAGGACAACTTGAACAAGGTCCTCCTCAGTTGGAAGGTGGTTTATGACCTCCCAGGGCCACCCAGACTATGAAATAAGCTCCTCATGTGTATCCCAGAGGCCTGGACCAGCCTCCAGCCACACCCTGCCAGCAGCGACAGTCCAGACACCAGGTCTTCCTCACAGTTGAGGTGAAATCTAGGGGAAGAAACATAGCCTCTGCCTCCCATTCTTGGCCAACATATTTTGTTTCTAGGGGGTAGTTCCATTTGGTAGGAAAGGGGGCTCATGCAAGTTGAATGAAAGAACTGAAAACACAGCAGGGAGGGAGCAGGGGCACCCCATACATGGCCGGCCCCCAAAATGGCATTTGGGTTCTCAGAGGTGTTGTCCTGGACTCCAGGCAAAAAAGAGGACAGGGGTTCAGGGAGTACTTCAGGGAGCTCCCCGAAGCCTTGGGCTTGCTCATCTCACTCTTGTACCCTGAATGTCTGTCTCAATACAACCTACCCAGAGGAAATGATAAGATCGGGGGTCTTTGGGTTTGCTTTGCTTTCCTGACCGTTAGTCACCCAGCTGTCAGGGTAAAAGGCTGAAAGTGCAGCAGGGTTTTTCAGAAGAGCTACTCCCCGAAAGAGGCCAAGCCCATGGCCTCTGCTTACTCTCCATGCCTGGCCGATCTACAGATCTCTCAAAGGGCCAGAGATCTGCTCCCCTGCTTAGCGCTACTGCCTTGAAACCTCTTTGATCAGCTGGAGGACTGCTGGGGTGGAGGGGTAGCATGCTTCTTCCTTGAGAGACAGGCTTGCTTCTCAAAGAACACGAAGCAGCCTCCTGTGGGACAAGGCCCAGGAGACAGCCAGATAGAAATGGGGTAAATGGAGGTCTGCAATCAGGGAAAGGCACCCCAGGAATGGAAGCCAGCAGTTTAAGTTCAGGCTTGTCAAGGAAGGCTGCTCTGGTAAGGAGGGCAGAGGTGAGGTTTGTATAGGATCTTGCACACCTGATTCATATTGGGTAGGTGAGAAAGAGTACTCATGTTGGACTCCAGGAGCCTGAGGCTCGGCACCCTGGGTGTTCTTTATCTGAGTTTTCTACCCGCACAACCGCAGGACCCTAATAGTCTGCCGGGAGTGAAAGCCAGGAGCCAGGACTGGAATCTTAAAGGTGCCAAAGAACTTTCTGACCCTGAACCCCGCCCTCTCACCTGCCAGAGTTTCTACTAGATGCAGCTTCTAAGCAATTGGGAGGCTTTGAGCAGCACTTCTAGGCTGTCTACACAGCGCCCCACTGCCCAGATGGGTGACTTCCATTGCTGCCGCGGCAAGACCAACCACCCGGCAGACAGTCTCCACTCATTGCAAATTTGTTCCGCGTAGTCTCTAAAGGAGTGCAGAATTTCTTGAAGCGTGGGAAGGGCAGCTTTAGGCGAATATCCCAGGCCACTGTGGATATAAACGTGCACACGATCCATTCGGCGGGGCCTTGGTGCTCTCCCTAAAGGTTCTCGACTTTGTCCGCGGTTGGTCAGGTCCTGGGGATCAAGGTCGGAGCCGCCGCAAAACTTCATCAGGATTCACTTCCAGAGGGCGGTTACGATGTCAGCGAGCAAGCTTAGGGACAGATGGGTGCCCACGGGGGAGTGAGAAGCAACTGGGGGGCAGCTCCCCAAACCCCAGGGCAGCCAAGCGCGGAGGGCGCGAAGGTGGCTGGCATCGCTCGGGCACCGCGCTGGTCTGGAGTAGGGCTGGGCTCTGGGAAGGGCGGCCTGAGGCCCGAGGGCTTTGGCAGGGATAGAAGCGCGGTGCGCGAGACTCCCAAGCGCGCAACTGCCAGCCTCGGCTAAGACCGCGCCGCAGATGGGGCGCAGCTGCTAGCTCACTGGTCTGAACTGGGAACGCTCCGAGTCCAGTATTTTAAAAGCAGGGAAATAAGGCTGGTTCCTCCTTCGCCCTCCACTTCCCTTGTAGACCGCGTGGCTCGAGCCCCCTAGGCTGTCCCTCTACAGCAACCTCACCGAGGTCTGCTCGGCTGCAGAGCCTCGGGCCGCCCGCAGAGCTCAGGTCGGGGACCTGGGGTGGCCCGCGGCGGCCAGTATCTGCGCCAGCCTCGGCTCACACCACCGCGCAGCCTTTTCGTTTGGCCTGTTTCCGCTCGACTTGAAAGTTGATGTTCTTATCCCATGTGTTTTCTTTTGCGGGGGTCCGTTCTTTTAAGATGTCCTTTTTCCTTTCGTTTTGTCTGTTCTCTCTCCCTCATCCTTTCCTCATTTCCTCGCTTCGTTTGCTCTTCCATTGCTTCTTTTTCGTTTGCTCGTTCATTTGTTCCTCTTCCGCTCTTGTGCCCAGCTCCCCGACTGTCTTTTACCTCTTGTTCCGGCAGCCCCCCTCTGTTATTTGCCTTAGTTTTCTTCCTTTTGGGGGGTTACTGTTTACACTGATTTTGTTTTCTTTCTCTGCATTTCGTTGTCCCCTGCCGTTTCCCGCCGTCGGATCTCGGATCTCGTTCCGCTCTATCGCTCACCGAAGCGCGCACGGCGCCAGGACTGTCCAGGCAACTGGGCGCTCGGAGCAGAATGCGCCCCAGTCGCGGGACTCCGGTTCCTGGGCTGGGTCCCAACCGGAGCGGAGCGCTGCGCCCAGCCGCGTACCTGTCCCCGGAGGTGCTCTGGGCGCTGCGCGGCCGCCGCCGTCTGGCAGGGATCAGAGGAGCCAGGCCAACTGCTTCTCATTAAATCCCAACTGTGGTTTTTATCAGGAGAGCCTCTTTCAAAGGACACAGACACGAAGCTCCGCGGACTCGCTCATTTCCTCCGCTGACCCCCGCACACCTCCCCACTCTCCTACACACGCTCACCAACCCCGGCCGGACGAAGGCCGAGCTGACAAGCCACTCCCGGCGGCCCGCGAGGCGCCAGCGGCACAGAGGGCTGCGGGACAGCGGATCTCGAGGGTCCAGCCCTGGGCCTCTGCTGCAGGATGTGGCAGCACGCATGGGGTGGGCGTGTGGCAGCTCCTACAGGTCGGCTGATGCAGTGGGTAGTGGGGAGGCCGCGGACCAGCCTGCCAGGCCGCCGGGTTCAGACGCCTTCCGAGTGATGGCAGGGTCCAACCGGCCTTCGCATCCAGGGCCCAGCTCAGGGGTTGGAGAAGCCCAGGGTTTAGGCCTGCCTAAGGCTGTTCGGGACAGCTCAGTGCTGAGGACCGGTGCAGGGATGTCAAGACGGCGAGAAGAGTGGCCATCGCCGTGCATGACGACAGGGGAGGCCAGGTTAGTCTGAGAACTAAGAACGTTTTTCTGTCTTCAGCTCTGCCTAACCAGCTGTGGCCACTCCGCAGAGCGCCCAATGCACAGGGAGCGACCTTCTCTGGAGACTGGGTGGGAGGGGGAGAGGTGGCAAGGCCAGGCTGCAGCCCTTGGCTGAGCCGGCTTGGTCCCTCTAGGTCAGGTCCCAGCCTCTGCGCCTCAGGGGTGCCAGACAAAAGCTGTGTGTGTCTCTTGCAGCGTCGGGGCTCAGCGTGGCTTCCAGGCCTTCGGCCCAGTCCGGACTTCTGGGTGGGTTAGTTCCAGTCTAACTCCGGCCAAGCACGATCTCCCTCCTCTTGCTGGCTCCAGCCGCTTTCGCCCAAATGGGCGCCCCGCTGTCTCTGCTCCACCCTCCCTCGACCTCCCGCCGCCCCGTCCCGCCGCCACCGGGAGCACGGGTGCCTATGCCGCCCGCACTGCGCTGGCCTCCGCCTGGCCCGGGCCAACCTCAGTCTGGCTTCCGAGGCAGCCGGAGTGAAAAGTGAGATGGACAAAAAGTTAACAGGCGTGCGGGAGACAGAAGCCGAGAGGCCCCGGCGGGCTAGGGTGGGGAAGGAGAGGGTCGGGCTGCGTGCTGCCCCGCGTCGCGCGTTACCTTCCGCGGGGCCTTCGTAGAAGCGGCCGCCGTTGAGAGCCGGGCCTGGCCCGAGGTCCTGCAGGTACTTGGCGGGCGGCTTGGCGGGCTCCGGGAGGTAGGGCTCCAGGGGCCCGCAGGCCGGAAAGCGGCTCAGCCGTGGGCCGCGGGGCGGCGCGGGGTGCAGGTGAGGCGCAGCGGCCGGCGTCCCCTGGGGGCCCGAAGGCTCGTCCCCCGCGGCCGCGTAGGGGCCGGCTGCGGGCCCCACGCCGAAAGGCGCGCAGCGCTCGGGGTCCATGCCGGCTCGGGGCAATCAGGCCGCCGGGGCTCCAGGGCTCCGCTACCCGCGCGGCCTGTGAGCGCCCGCCAAGGGGGAGGGACCTGGGCTCAGGGGCGCGGAGCCCCCGGGAGCGGCGAGCGCCGCGGGGGGCGGGGGAGTAGAGGAGGGGACCCGCGTCTCTGACTTAATGCTGGAACTATCCACGTCACGTGCGGCCCCTCGCGGGTTAACCCCTCGGAGCCCGGGAACCCCCTAATTCACCCCGAGCCCGGTGTCCCAGGCATTCGAGGAGAGGAGGGGGAAGGCTACTGCCTTTCGAGGGCAGGCCCCCCTCTGTCTACCTGTGTGGGTGCGGTCCTAGCTCAGAGCTGCCCCCTCGGACTGGTCCTGTTCACCAATCTAGTGGCTTTTGCCTTACCAGGGGTAAGGCGATGTGGTAGCAGATCCCAACCTTCCACAAACACTTTTAGTCCTGGTCTCCGGACGTCAGCCATAGGAAGAAGCTGGGGGCAGCGGCTGGGCTGCCCTCTTTCTAGCTCTTTTTGTTGAGGACTGGAGAAAAGGTCTCTACAGCAAGCACAACTCCTTAGAGACGTCTTGTTTTGCACAGGGACAGGAGTCCTTAGCACACGGAGTGGAATCAGCTCTAAACTGTGAACAGGGGTTGGGGAGTTTGGGCCAGGACTTACCATTATTGAGCTTCGGGTCCTTGAACCAGTCACTTGGTGTCATCCTCTGATGGTGGAGGTGGGTGGAATCAACCTCAGAGTCCTACTACACATTTGTGGCGGGTTTCGAGGCAGAGACAGGCCAGAGTAGACATGGAGACTCCCAGGTGAAGCTCAGGATTGAACAGGGATTGGCATCGGCAGCCTTTGAGCAGGTGGAGGAGCCATAGCCATGAGCAGCCGATGTGGACTGAAAGCTTTTCAGAGTGTCCAGGTCCTGTCTGTAACTCAGACTCCAGGGTTCAGCTGCCCTAGGGCTGCCCTTGTGGGGTGGGGTGTGGGGAGAGAGGCTCTCATGAGCTGAGTCTCCCCAACTCAAAAGAAGCCTAGGATTACAGCAATAATCTAGCATTTCTGAAAAGAGAAACAACCCCTACCTTCCTAAGATTTGGGAAAAGTACCAGAGGGCCCCCAGGCTGGGCTCACATCTCCTGGATTGAAGAGCCCTTGGGTCTAGATGAAACCATTTATATTTTCAATGCCCCAGAGGCTAGCAAGAGGGGTGGGGAGTCACACGTCATTTGTATTTCATTTGAATTCTCGATTTTTTAAAGGAATCCTAGAGGCCTGGTGTGAACACCTCCGTCTTCCGTTGGAGGCTTAGAGGGGGTTTCTTGGCTGTCCTCAGCCAGAGTTGGGCTGTAAATCAAGGGCAAACAGGAACCAGAAGCCTTGCATCTCACAAGAAGTCATTAAGCCATTATTAAACATACCTTAACTTCTCTGAAGCCTTCCTAGTTTAAACACCACATTGGAGGCATTATGGCCATTAGGGCCTCTAATCACAAACTGCAGATTGGGCAGAGAGATGGGAGCACCTGGGGCTGCTATTTCTAGCCTGGAGGGAGGCCGAGGGAGGCTCAGTTCAAAATTAAGTTTTCTCTCTGTGGAGGGAGATCCACTCTCCAGAGTTAGTTGATCCCAGCTCTGGCAACTAATTTACATGGATTGCTAATAAAGTTTGTCAGTACTTGTTGATTGGATATTGGCAACTTTCTAGGAGGATGTGTCCATTCAGAACATTTATTCAACAAGATTACCAAGCAGATTATTTTGGAGGAAGCATGCATGACATAGGACAAATGTCACCAAGAAATTAAGCAAGGCAGCCTGGATTAAACGCCTCAGGTGATAACCTTTTCCAGGCTCAGTTTCATTATCATAAAAATGGGCCACACATATGGACATAGGATATTTGAGAAGCACTCACGTTTTGATGTGCTATGCTAATGTAAGAGATGATGTGATAATGATTTCTTCAGAAATGGGAGCTTAAATTTCTGGGCTCCATCACCAAATTGGCAGAAGGCTCCTGACTCCAGACCAAAAGTTTCTGTGCCTTGAGCTGAAAACAGAGACCTGGAGCTCTGCTGTCCCAGGGACCCACGCCTCTTCCCAAGCCCCAGAGTTCCTTGTGATGCAGTCTCTCACTCTCTGGACAGAATTCCCATGCTCTGATGATGTCACCAATTGAAGGCAGGAAGGCCCAGATTACTTTTGGGGCCTGTAGGTATATGCAGCTGTCCATCCCGGTAGAGTTTTCTCCCAGGACCATGAAAGACGGGACACTGACAGGGACCTGTCCTGTTCCTCTTTTTCAACCCCTGGTGCAAACTTGTGTCAACCCCTGGTGCAAACCACATCTGGTCTGGGAGGAGTTTGATGGAACAGGTGAACAGAAAACACAATAAAAGAACCTCTGAGTTAGTAAACATTCCTGGTTAGGCAGGTGGGGAGATGATGGGATACCACAGACACTCTTATTTTACAGATAAATATATAGTACTTACATAGTACTTGGAGTGTGCCAGGCATTATCACATGCATCTTACATACAATGACTTGTGTATTCCTCACAACAACCCCACAAAGTATGCACAATTATTAGCCCTATTTTATAGAGAAAGGTCCCGAGGCCACAGAGGGACCCGTTTGCTCAGGGTGCATACAACCAGGTATTAGCAGGACCAGAATATTCACTCTAATCCATAGTCTCCCACCTAACCCAACTCTCTTAGACCTTCTTTAGCTAACACACAAACAACTAAGTTAAAATCATTCACCGCGCACCCTTATTTTCCTAATAGAAAAGTTGGGACTTCTTCCCCAGAGGGAAGTTGAGGCCAGTGTGGACTGAGGACAGAGCTGGTATGAGATGAGATGCACTGCTACCTTTGTGAGCACCAAGTGGCAGCCAGCTGTGGTGGGCAGGGGAAGTAGGGAGAGGGCAGCTTCTGCTAAGCTGAGGCCATCACGACAGAGTGTCCAACACCTGAATAGTTTTACAACTAACTCACATGTGGGGCTGAGTTTTAAGAGAGTTCACCATTCATGGCATTTAGTAGCTTTTGAATTATAATAGCATTTGTCATCAATACCTTATCTACAGAATAAGATGAGCTGATAGATGATCCAGATAACTCTAGGTCATATAATAAAAACTGGAAAAGTGCTCTCATCATCTGCTGAGGAAAAACTAATTTTAAATGAAGCAATACTTATCGGCTGTCTTATACTGACTGTTTAATCCATTCATTTAATTAGGGAGGTCCTATTGGTGACAGACATTTGCTGGTACCTGGATACAGCAGCTAGCAAGACAGATGTGATCCCTGCCTGCCCGGTGCTTATACTTTGCTGGCATGGAAATGTCTCATCCACACTGAAGCAAACCACTGATTGGATATGAGCCAGAATGGAATATGGTCTTGAGAACAGAGCTTTTGGCTCCTGGCTCAAGTGTAAGGTCAGCTCTTTAATTAGGGAAACATGGGTTCCAGTTACCTCTTTCCCTTTCATTTTCTACTTTCCTTAGCCTACACTACAAGAAGGGACAAAGCTTTCCTTCTTCTCCCAGTGGATATCCCGAAGGGGCTGGGACAATGGGAAAAATGTAACCTCAGGTCTGAGATTTGCTTGACATTTACAAAACTTCCTTCCAGGCAGGAAAAACTCATTTTTTTTTTTTTTTTCTCTCTGAAGGGAAGATAGTCAACATTACCCTTATCCTATTTAGAAGCTGAAATTCTAAATTGATTCCTATGAAAATTCTGGGTTTGGGAGCCCAAGTAGATTGTTTCTCATTAGTGACATTCTTCCTGGAAGGTCAGGCTAGGAATGGTAAATAAACCTTCAGATCCGGTGTTTCCTCCTCACCCATGGTATTTGAAAAAAGGTTTGTGCTGTGGATACTCAGGATTCTTGGTTCAGATTCTAATGATTCAAGCTGAAGTCTGCATTGGGGCAAAATTTCAGGGATATTAGGGGGACATTTTTCCTCTTCTGTTGATTTGATTAGTTTCACCGGGAAAGCCTTTTAATCTCTCTGTACCTTAGTTTCTCCACTGGAACACTGAGAGGAAAGATTCTATAGGTCTGGCTTTACTGGACTGAATGAGGTCGTGTTTATACAGATGTTCTTTGAGCCTAAATCCATCCCTGGGCCTATATTTTTCTGCTTATTATCTCTTCCCATCACGGTGGTTGGGATGAGATGGACTGGATGAGCGAAGAGTTGGAGATAAGTCCATGAGGTGGCAGTGTACAGAGGGTCAGAGATTACTCTGCCACCTGAACTGATTGCTTTTGTGTGAAGGTAAGTGGGTTCTGTAGCAAGTGCGTGTGTGGACAATGACATCATTTTGTGGAGATTTTATTTTATCCCAGTTTTGGGGATTCAACCCAGGGCCTCATGTGCTGCACAAGCACTCTATCCCTGAACTATATCCTCAGCCCCTGTGAGGAAATTTTGATGAACTTATTCTTGCTTGCTGCAAGACATAAAAGGGTGAGGTTTAGATTTCTACACAGTTTTTTGTTTGTTTGTTTGTTTGATTTTCCCCAGTACCAGGAATCAAACTCATGACCTTGCGCTTGCCAGGCAGGCGCTGTGCTGCTGAGCTAAATCCCCAGCCCCTTCTAGACAGTTTTAATTCTTCAGTTAATTAATTTTATGCAAATGCACCTTCCATAAGCTTTTGCTGAATTCTTGCCCTGTGCCGCAGTGGGTCCACATAGAGGATAGAACCAGAGAGAGTAGCACTTCTTCTCAGGGCTTTTCCAGACTAGCAAGAGAGGGGCAGAGAGCAACAGGCACATCAAGAGGGTGGTTTTGCTGAGGGGGAAGAGCACAGGGAGCCATGGGACCCATGAGAAAGATGCTTCACAGCCACAGAGACAGCTGGAGAGAAATGGCTGTGGGACGCTGTAAGGTGGAATCCTGGAAGTTGGGGGGCGGGTTCCCAGCTGAAAGTGTATGGAGGAGCCAGGGAAAAAGTCTTCCAAGAAAGAATAGCCCACAAATAAGAGAGAAGTAGCCAAGCTAGAGGAACTCAGA